TCGGCCAGTTGTCGGCTCCGCTCGTAACAGGCTTTGGATTCTGTCGTGGCGGGCCGTAAACGGAGGTTGTGCACTCGACCCTCAGCCTCGGTTCGAGTTTGTCGGGTAGTTCCCGAGGCCCCGCGCGCCCGGTAATGCTGGCAACCCTCGCACGGCGGGATGGGCCAATAGCGAGCTATGGAATTCCACGGAACCACTGTGAGTTGGTGATAGGGGAGGAGGAGATGGAAGGGAGGGAAGTTGGTGGTGATAACGACGAAACCTGGGGATATGTAGTATTGAGTATTGTCCGTATCGGGGTAGTCTGAGCCTCTAGGATCGCTGGTTATAGCCCAGTGGAAATCCCCCGCGCATAGTCGGTCGTGCTCCGTCAGACAGGGGAATTCCGGGTATCTCAAGTTTCCCTGTAGTCTAAGTTGTTCGCCTTCCCAATACTCGCAATATTCCGGGTCCCTCAGGTTTTCGTAGTTGGATGTCCAGGAGGGAGATATCGCAGCCATATCCGTTTCGTAAGCCGATTCCCCCGCATCCTTACACGGGGTTAAGGCTGACTCACGCGGACGAGCGCGTACGTGGCGACTCGGTTTTCTCGAGATCGCGAGCGTGCGCGCGCGTACTCTTAAGGAACAGCCGATTGGTTCAGCATAAGTGCAAATATCCTACCAATCACTACGTGCCATACATGTGACGCAAAGGGACGATCGACTCATCTCAACACTTAATGATGAGAGCCCAGACATCAAGACAAGCATTTTCAATCGGTTCTGAGCGTATAGCTCCCGCAAGTGAACATTAGTTAGAGACGAAACAGGCGTCGCAAAACAGAGCTAGAAATCCAAAAAGATCACAAATAAAAGGGAATTTACATTCATTTCATGCATGCATACCGAATAAAATCACAGGAAAATCCAAGATGATGTACAAGCGAAGTTCCAAAGAAGAGGGCCGTGATAACAAAATCGGCCATACCAGGATCAAAAATTGTACAGATGAACAGGGGAAGAAGGAGACAACAAAAAAAAGGACCTTATCCCACACCCACACAACTGCTCTCTCTCTCTCTCTCTCTCTCTCTCTCTCTCTCTCTCTCTCTCTCTCTCTCTCTCTCTCTCTCTCTCTCTCTCTCTCTCTCTCTCTCTCTCTCCCCGATGCCGGCAGTCCGTCGCCGCGTATCAACGTAGAGTTGTCATCCCGCTTGGTTCAAGCATGCAAGCCAGGTTCGCCCGTGCGCCACATTCCGTCGCGGCCCCGATCGCCCAACTCTCACACTCACTTACCTTCCAAACTTGCTCGTTAGCCGACCCTCACTGATCGCGCCAACCTCGAAATGCTTAGAGAGCCAACTAATCGCGCTTGCGGAATTATAGCGTGTACGCTTGCGCGAAGGATATGGGATTAGCCCCAAGTAATGAGAAGGAGAAGAGAGGAAGTGCCTACGTCTACATGTCTGGGCCGCGGCGCGGGGGACTGAGCCACTCTCCGCGCATCGATCCGGTCATGCAGGCATAGGAACCAATCAGGTCAGGGGAGAAGGCGTGCATGGACCGAGCCACTCTCCACGCATCGATCCGGTCATGCAGGCATAGGAACCAATCAGGTCAGGGGAGAAGGCGTGCATGCTCGGGCGAGCACAAGGCGGGAAGAGGGAAGAGCACGAAAGACATCAAGAACGAGAAGATTACAGTTGCAATTACACCCGCCAAAACTTTTACAGTTACGTGCAATATTAAGGCGCAACAAGAAGTCCGAACCCATATGTTGTCGCGGCAAGGCGTGCGTAAGCAGGAGCGCCGTGCAGCAAAATCCAGAAGGCGCCTAAATTCCTATCTTAAGTCCTAATTGCAAAGGAAAAATTCCGAAGAAAAAAACAATTCCGAGAGCCCGTGGGGACTCGACACCAGTTGAAAATTCAAAAACGATATTCCCGCGCGATGATCGCGCCAAAATTCCCAGTGCTCACAGCAGAACAAGAAAGAAAAAGCTATGGTACAGGTATTCTTCACGCTCGCTAAGGCGCGGTTCTCTAACCATTGGCATGGGATCTTCCCGACACCAATCCGACATTCTCAGCAGAAAAACAAAAAAGAAACGAGGACATCCATGCAATTTGTTCACCCGACCCGTCTGCCCACAGCTCACCCCTTCGACCCGTCGCATTTCCCCAAACAGCTTCGCGCAGAAGATCGCGCGGTTTCAGAAAGTGGTTCGCCACAGTACTATGCGGGTTGGTTGGTAGTACTTGGGGTGGGTGATACTACATGGACTAGGTGGTACTATATGGGCTGGGTGGTATCAGGTGGCCCAGTTGATACTATGCGGGCTGGGCAGTACGGACTACGAGGACTCAGACTGAGTGGCACTATGTCGGCTGGGCAATATTATGTGGCCTGGGTGATACTATTGGGGCTGGGTGGTACTACAACGGCTGCATCCTATCATGTGAACTGGATGGGACAATGTGAGCCGGCTGGTACAGTCTGCAGGTGGTGATGCTATGTGGGCAGTGGCACAAACGAACAGACCAAAAAAAACACAAATGTTACGATCCTGGCCAATTTCGAAGTATACATTCATCAGAAAGTACAATGCCAAACAATTGCAAAAAGAAATGAATGAACTTGAGAGGAAAGAGAGGGAAAGAAGAAGTAGAAGAAGTGAGAAAGAAGAAGATGATGATGTACTCCAGCATAGACCAATGTCAAGGCTCTTCTTCTTCGCCAACCAATCCCTTCCTCCTTATCTCCTCCCCTCTTATTCAAACAAGAAATAACAATAATAATGTTGAATGACTGAACCAGAATCAATGTCCGAATCCCACTTCTACTGCAGGCACAACATGATATCCACCATAGCCATGGCCACCCTTCTTCTTCCTCTACATACAGGCCGAGGCTATGGCGGACTACTGAGGCTTCAGCCTCCCGTCCAAAGGACACCCAAAGCAGCTATGCTGCTGCCCCACTTCAAGGTCATCACCATGCAGCTATGCCGCTGCCTACTCAGCCACCATGCCTGACTCTGTCCCGAACTTCCTTGATGCGGCACTACCCCAGCGGGGGCCTTCCTGATGCAGTGCCTAGCAAGGAGATGAAGATGGTGTCTACCATAGCCAGGTAAGTGCCTCGCCACTCTCCTCCTTGGTCCCCTTCTCCCTCCTCCTCCTACTGGTAGAGCTCCACCATAGCCAAGGTGGAAGCTCCCGGCTTCTTCCTCCCAGCAGCGCTGTAGTACCCAGTGCCACTCCAGCCAGCGCTCCAGCAGCGTGTCGCCAAACTTGCACACTGAAGAATGAGGCTGGGCTCTCCGCCCGGCCTCTTGATATAGCGGCCTACTTGCCTCCTGGGCGGTGACTTCCAGGCCGCTCGGCCTCTCCAAGCAACCGGTACCTCCTCCGTTTCTGAGGGAAACATCATTGCAGACCCTGATATTACCCGTACAGGATCTAGACTCAAGACTGTTTGGACTGGTACCGGTCTAGACCTACCCTACCGCTACTGGACTCTAAAAATGCCAACTTTGTCTTTTTCTGCTCGGCCTCCGGTACCCCTTCACGCCAACTGCAGTGGGGTGCAGTATCGGCCTACCGGCCCACTTGAGTGTTTTTCCGCTACCCCAAGGGCCGCGGGGCCGCTAGCTTCGCCACTTGAGTGTTTTTCCCTGCTACAACCCTCAATGCCACGGCCACAGGTAAGTACCGGCCCTACGGGCCTGCCAAACAAGCAAGTACCCTTGCGGGTCACACACACACTCATACCAACAAGCACTCAGACAGGCACGCAGGTCACAAGCACGCACACACAGACAGACTTAGAAAACACAGCAGAATGTGGGAATCTCAGCAAGGCACCCATTCCATCGGCAGAACTTCAGAAATCAGCAGTGTTCTCAGTCTGTGTTTTGACCGGTCATTACACAAAACATTACTCCCGTCAACTGTTGATAACCAGACCAGAGCTCGAATCGTGACAAGTAGTGGTAATACAACTTCGATTTTTTTCTTCGTCTTTTGGGGCCGTCTATTAAAAAGAAAACATGGCCACATCTCCACTGGATTCGAGCTTGTGACCTCATAGCTAACAGCCACGTGTCTCCTCTTCATCGATGTGGGCCTGCTGTGGACTTGTGTTTGAACATGTGAGGTCCCTCAACGTGAGCAAAACAACAGACGACAAGAAAGCCTGCCAACCAGTGTCCGGAAAAGGAAAACGACAAAAAAGAAGAACTGGAACAGCAGACGCCAGAGAATGTTTTTGAGAGCAACAGGCGAAGCAACAAATCCCTGCACAATAACGGCCAGAATAAAACAAATGCGCAGTTGCCCCGAATGGAGGAAAAAATATTCCGCTTCCCTGGGCGCCTCTCAAAAACGGGTCTTGTGGGACAGCGTCGCATGTGACCCGATATTGCCTTTAATGAGATGAGATAGGGATATTATTATCATACATTGATAATTTGATATGCAATACCATAAGATATTGTCGAACAGAACTTTCCAGTAAACTGTAGGCAGAGAGGGACACGAGGACAACGAGGAAGCGGCTGTGACAGACTGTTTCGTTGGAGTCTCACTGATTCATCATATAGCATCATATATGATACATGCACATTTGTTGTTTTGTCTTTTTTTTTTTAAAGAAGGCCTCTTTGCTCCTTCTATTTTGTGGAGTGTCACTCCGGCCCCTTTCCACCAGGAAGTCGAGATAAATGTAACCGGCAGGAAGGATTGACTGTCGTTACAGCCTATATGTGTGCAGTCCCTGCTCGCCTGCTTTCTACTGTGTTTTTTTTTTTCAGTTGGAAAACTATTTTTGTCAATTTTTTTGACTCTTTTTGAGTCGACTCTCAGCCAAAATGGTTTTAGAACTTAGAAGTGAGGCACTTCATCTTTCTTTTTCCAAATTCGTGCCGAGGTTCTCTTGTTCCTCTTTCCAAGGTTTTCTCATTGAAGAATCTTTTGTGTTTGTCTGTGTTCCCGTTTTTGGTTTGTTTCTTCTTTACAGGTCATAACACTGCGCCGCACAGCCAGGGATATTCTCACACTTATTCCATTCACGATCATTCTCATCGCCCCACTCTCGCCTATCGGGCACGTACTTGTCTTCTCTTTCCTACAACGATACTTTCCGGGTTTTTTCCCGTCATCTTTTACAAATAAGTAAGTCCTCTAGTAACTCTCCTCTCTTCCCCCTCTCGTCCCCCTCTCGTCCCCCAACCCGCAGCCCCCCCCCCCTCTCTTGAGCCTGCAAATTGGCCCCTTTTCAGGAAAAAGAGACCCCACTCCTTTTGCAGCTTGGCAGTGAAAATCGGATCTGCTCTTGACCGCCTAGGAAAAAATGTCCCGTTCTGTACCAGCACTACAGGACTCTCAATTCTTCCCCCCTGCGTGCAATTTGTGTGTGAATTTGTGAAGCCATAACTCCCTCCGAACCTATGTTGGCAAACCAACAGTTGCATTTCCCCGAGCCTAGAATCCAAAGTGCTGCTGTGAGGAAAAGTAATTGTGGTACCCTTACCCACCGAAACTCTACCAGGCCAGGGAACTGAATATTTTCACCCGCTGGAGTGGTGGTTGAATGTGCATGCCTCTCTGCATGCATGTGCAACAACCCTGGTCAGCTCACAATGCACAACTAAAAAATGAGAATACGCCTCCCATTGCAACTCAAGTCTCAAACAGAAGAAGAATGAGACAAGGGAAGAAGAAGAATGGAGGAAAGGAGGAGGAGAAGAAGACGAAGGAGGAGGAGGAGGAGGAGGAGGAGGAGGAGAAGAAGAAGAAGAAGAAGAAGAAGAAGAGGAGGAGGAGGAGGAGGAGGAGGAGGAGGTTGAGGAGGAGAATAGTAATAATAAGAAGAAGAAGAAGAAGCTGGAACCAATGTCATCTCCCTCCTTTCTCCCACCATTCGAAGATCTTAATAGTAATAATTAGCAACAGAAATGAATGAATATGAATGAATCAGAATCAGTGGCTGATTGCTATGGCTCACTTCCTCTGTTGCTCCAACCCTAACCCTCCACACCTGCTCTTTGAAGTTCAAACTTCAAACCATTTAATGGCCAGCTTGCAAGGTTGCACACGTTTATTGTCCTTAGCAGAACCCCCTATCTCCTGAGGTACAACAACACTCCGGTGCTACCTTCTTCCCCTGTGTTATGACCCTGGCCAATTCCGAGATACACATCCAACGGAAAATACAATGCCATCCAATTGCAGAAAGAAATGAATGAACTTGAGAGGAGAGAGAGAGGATTAGAAGAAGAAGAAGTAAGAAAGAAGAAGAAGAAGATGTACACCAGCAAAGACAATGACAAGGCTCTTCTTCTTCGCCCAACAATCTCCTCCTCCTTATCTCCCCCTTCTCTTATTCATACAAGAAATAATAATACAATGTTGAATGACTGATCCAGAATCAATGTGCGAGTCCCTCTTCTATTGCAGGTATCACTTAAGGTCCACCATAGCCATGGCCGCCTCTCCCACTCTTCACTCTCATAGGCCGAGGCTATGGCGGACTACTGGGCTCTGCTCAGATGCCCAAAGGACAACCCAGAGCAGCTATGGCTGCTCTAGCTCAGGCCGCCATGCCTGGCCCTGCCCCGAAGCTTCTTGGTGTCGCTCTCCCCAGCTGGGGACTCCCTGCTGCAGCGCCCACCAAGGTGATGAAGATGGCTGCCACCATAGCCAGGTAAGTACCCCTGGCGCTCCTCCCCCTTCCTTCCTTCTTCCTCCTCCTTCCTCCCTCGTATCCTTCTCCTTCCTCCCCAGCAGCGCTGCTCCAGCCAGCGCTCCACCAGTGTGTCGCCAAACTTGCACACCGAAAAAGAGGCCGGACTCTCCGCCCGGCCAGAAGATATAGCAGCCTGCTTTGCCTCTTGGGCGGTGACTTCCAGGCCGCTCGGCCTCCCAAGCAACCGGTACCTCCTCCCTTTCGGAGGGAAACATCATTGAAGACTCTGATATTGCCCGTTACAGGCCCTAGACCCAGACTGGTTGGACTGATATCCACCTAGACCTACCTACAACTACTGGGCCTCTAAAAATGCCACTTTTGTCTTCTTCTGCTCGGCCTCCGGTACCTGCACACCTGCTACTTGAGTGTTTTTCCCCGCTGCAACCCCTCAATGTCGCGGCCACAGGTAAGTACCCGCCCTGAGGGCCCAACGAACGAGCAAGTGCCCTGACGGGCCACACCATACTCATGCCAACCAGCACTCAGACAGGCACGGTCACACACACACTGAGGCCAACCAATACTCAGGCAGGCATGGTCACGCACACACTCAAGCCATCCAGCACTCAGACAGACATGCAGTCCAGCAAGTGTGCACACACAGACTTAGTAGCAAGCGGGAAACTCAGCAGGGCATTCAGTCTATGGTCAAAAGTCAGAAATCAGCTGTGTGTTTCAGTCCATGTATGGACGGGTCATCACACCTGAATACAATGCACCTTCATTATGGCTGTTTTGAACCGGAAAACTAGCTTGGATACATTCATTATAAGGGTGCGTTGTGTTCAGGGGAAGACAGTAGTGGCCACTTTGGTGTCACCGCCCCTTCAACGAGTAGCGACCCCCCACTGTTTGGGGGGTAGAATGGAGTCACGAGTGATCAGGGGCGGCCTCACCAGTGCTGTGTTTGCGCTTAGAAGCATGAACCTGACGGTAGAAGTGACCAGGTTTGTGCTAGCATAGCACGAAAATAGCACCATTGGCACTTGGCCTGCCTTACTGACTGTCCATGGAAATCTTGTCAGCTCACGAGGATTCAGGTGGTTTCACACTTAGCGTTTGGAGAACACCTTTCCCCTCCCCTGTGTGACTGACGGTAGGGTTTTTTCGGCTGAATCTGTTTGCATTACCTGTCAGGTACACTAGTGCAAACATGTAGATGTTATGAACATGATTGTCCATTGAAATTTTATCAACGCTCACTCACAGGAACTCCCGTACACGCCCATACATGCACAGCAGGAAGGGGAGAGGTAGTGGAGTGTCACACCGCCCCACAAAAGGAACGCAGCGGAAGACTTAGAGGAGCGAAGTGACAAAACGCACAAAACTGTGGATTCTCTCCACACAAGTCCCAACAATCAGTCATAGAAGACAACCGAGTGATCACAGCCAGAAATCAATGAAGAGATGACAACTCAAACACAGTAATACAACTGTTTATTAAACTCAGAGCATCGTTTTCCCTGAATCCTCAACCCCACACACACCGAGCAGCTAAAAATAGCACCAGAACCCCAGGTAACACCCAGCGCCACCCTAACATCCAACTCAGTGGCCTGCGCCAAGATGAAACAGGCTCCCAGAGCCAATCGCCACCCAGATGATGAAGAAGAAGCTCAGCGTCAACAGTCCGTGATGAAGGTGAAGTCCAGACGATGATATCCTCTGAGAAGATGGAGCTGTGGCTGCATTGCCACTGGGACCCTACTCCTGTCAGCAGTGCACCACGTGCTCCAACGCATCAGCCCTCTGATAGCCCAGACCGCTTTGACTCCCAGGGAGACTAAGCGGACAGCGTTGACCCCAGTCTGGTCAGCGCTCCGAAGGTCTGGCTATGTCCGCTGTCTCCCACACCGGAATCGGCAACCACGACCTCATACCGTGTTTGCATCAACTTCCACCACGAAGTGTCAACTGCCAAAAGCCCAGGACCGATGTCTCCATCCTATCTATACCCTAAACTAGCCTAGACACGACCTAGACCGAACTGACTGACTGACGGTACCATTTCTGTTTCGGCCTCTACGGCCTCTCCCTACCCGGCTATAGGCTATAGGACCGTCTATCAGCGTAGGCCCATTGGGCTTGTCTGTCCTAGGGGTAGTTCGGGCCTGCTATACGCAGTTAGGGTAGCTGTAGGAAATTCGAGTTAGTATTGGGCCCATATTTCCAATTACAAATATATCCCTCACGAATTTTCCTTACAGGTAAGTCTCTCGGTTAGCCCTCAGCCAAACAAAATTACGAATCTGTCCCTACCTATGGTACAGCCTCGTCAGGAGAGGCTACAGGCAACCTGGACCCAGNGCCCTCAGCCAAACAAAATTACGAATCTGTCCCTACCTATGGTACAGCCTCGTCAGGAGAGGCTACAGGCAACCTGGACCCAGCAAGTCATTGCAGACCTACGCTCCCCTGGAGCGAGGACCTCCGAGCTAGGGGCGTAGGCGTGCAGAGCGTCGAAGGGGTTCTCCCCTTTACACAGCCTCATATTTGAGGATAACATACTTTGCTGTTTTCAGAATCTCCTTGCGAGTAAACCAGCGATCCTCAGTATGGGGCTGGTAAAGAAACTTCTCAAGGTACTCCTTATCCGGGCCTGTACCATACTCATCCTCAACTGATTCCACCTCATATCCCTTCCCAGGGATAGGGGGACTAAATTGAAGAGGCATGTTTGGAATGCATCAGTTGGGGTAAACGGTAGCACAACTTGGATGCATGAAAGACAGGGTAGGTTTGTAGATGCAGTGGGACGTCCACGTGATAAGAGGGACCGAAAGGGTCAGCTCCCACTGTATCCAAAACCTGCCATGAACCCATATAACGCGGCAACAGCTTGGGCGAAATGTCCTCCTCGCAGCTGGCGGTCCTGGGGAATGCACAAACGCTCCTCTCCTCTGGTGCAGGTGTACAGCAGACCTGAAACCAGTGAATATCCTGGTTCAGCTGCAGGATCAGTCTGCAGATTCCTGACTATAAGACCGAAAATCGGGTCGTGTGCCAACAACTGGGCAATGGTCTGACGGCTGCGACAGGGCTGCCAACGATTTTAAGGCCCCAAAGTGGCCGCGCGCATCATGACACTCAGACATCATGAGTGTTCGCAGCTGGCGGTCCTGGGGAATGCACAATCGCTCCTCTCCTCTGGTGCAGGTGTACAGCAGACCTGAAACCAGTTAATATCCTGGTTCAGCTCCAGGATCAGTCTGCAGATTCCTGACTATAAGACCGAAAATCGGGTCCTATGGCAACAACTGGGCAATGGTCTGACGGGTACTCTCCCCAAAAGCATGAGTAGAGGAGATTAGGTAGAGAGTGTCAGGCGTACGAGAAAGGGCGTCTGCTACGCAATTGTAGCAGCCCTTCTTGTGTTTCAGTTCAAAGTCAAAGAGATCAATGAACTGAATATAGTGTGCAA